TGCCTTATGCTTCTTCAACTTCCTTTTGTCTCCTGTATGATGTCTCAGTTTGTGACAAGCACTGGACAGCGTGTGAGATAATCCGATTCCAGCTCCAGCTCCATCATTTACAAGGTGACCTCAGGCATGTCACCTAATCTCTGAAACTTCTGTTTCCTTCTCCATACAAAAGGGTGATCGTGATCCCAGTGCGAGCATCCACAGAGGGTCGACCAGATGACCACATCATAATGTGAATGAAGCCACTGCCCAAATCTAAACCTTGCTTACGAAGGTGCTCCTGAGTATATTCAGGGTAGAGTGGCTGATCCCCAGAGCTACTGGGCATTTCACTAGAACCTTGCCAATCACAGGCTAGAGGCATGCCTCTGGAGAGTTACCTTCTTGAAATGCAAAAGTGGGTGTGACATTTCCCTGCTTAAAACACTTTGCCCTCAGAATGAAACCCTTCTCTGTAACAAGGCCTACATGCCTCAGTCCCTGCTCAATTCCCTAGCCTTTCCCCACACTTCCCCCTAAGCAAGGTCTAAAGGTTACATTCCGCCCTCTGAGCCACGCTGAGCTACAGGTGATGCCCAAGCTCTTCTGGGTTGCTGACTATCTGACCTTAAAATAGGGAGACTATCCTGGGTTATCAGTGTGGGTCCAATGTAAGGACAAAGGTCTGTAAAAGTGGAAGAGGGAGACCAAAGAGAGGCAGGAGTAACAGGATGTGAGAAGCACAAACCTGCCACTGCTGGCTGTAAAGACGGACGGGGCGCGCACCAAGGCCTGCGGGCAGTCTCTCGAAGCTGGAAAAAGTCAGGAAGCAGATTCTCCCCCAGGGCCTCCGGAAAGCAATGCAGTCCTGCCAAGACTCTGATTTTAACCAGTGAGATCCATGTCAGACTTCTGGCCTAAAGAACTATACCACCCACTCCCCCCATAAAAAACAAAAACCATTGCCATCAAGTTGATTCTGACTCATAGCGACCCTATAGGACAGAGTAGAACTGCCCCAGAGGGTTTCCAAGGAGCGCCTGGTGGATTCAAACTGCCGACCTTTTGGTTAGCAGCTGTAGCTCTTAACCACTACACCACAAGGGTTTCCGAAGGACTATACGATAATAAATCTGTGTTGTTTTGAATCACTAAATTGGTAGTAATCCATGATAGCCGCAACAGAAAATGAATATAAATACACCAGACAAGAAGAAGAAGACCCAGTGAAGACAAATCTTTCTACCTCTCGGAGCTTCACCTTCCTAATCGACAAACTGGGGATAAGCATCCTTAATCTAAGGAGCCCTGGTGGTGCAATGGTTAAGCACTCAGCTGCTAGACCTGGTGTTCTGCTCCTGTAAAGACTGCAGCCTAGAAAACCCTATGGGGCAGTTCTACTCTGTCCTATAGTGAAGCTACGACTCGACGACACACAGCAAAAACGATATCCTCAATCTGCTTATACCATAGGGCTGTTTATGAGGCTCAAAAGCTATATGGCCTGTGCTTGAATCTCACCCTCAGCACTTAATCATTGTGTGTCTTTGGCAAATGACTTAAAACCTCTGTGCCTCAGTTTTCTCATCTATAAAATAGGGATGCTGATGTTGCTGTTGTTAGGTGCTGTCAAGTCGGTTCCAACTCATAGCAAACCCCATGCACCACAGAACGAAACACTGCCTGGTCCTATGCCATGCTCACAATTGTTGTTATGCTTGAGCCCACTGTTGTAGCCACTGTGTCAGTCCATCTCATTTAGGGTCTTCCTCTTCTTCGCTGACAGTGCTGAGTTATTGTGAAGATCCAATGAATTAATCAATGTAAAGCACTTACAACCACCTCTGGCACAAAGTACTATTATATAAGCATTAGCTATGATGACATATGTAAAAAGTTTGTGAAAGGTTAGGCATTATAAAGTGGTTAGGCAGAATTAGCATTTTTTATATAACACTGGTTCTCAAGAGAGTGGAGGTTCAAATCCCAGTCCCCAGTGGCAGTTCAGAAATGCCTGGGGCATCTTAGAGGTCAAGGGATGGGGGGTCAGAGAGGGTGGCCAACTATCAGCATTTAGTGATGGGAGCCAGGGATCCTAGGCATTCTGCAACCCCTTCGGGAGTTGTTCACAGTGCAAGACTTTTGCAGATCCCAGATGACACCATGCACCCCATCCACTGTCATTTGTAGCTGTGCACTGATGGTGATTTTATAGACCGGGCCTAGCATCTGACTCCTTCACTATGACCTCTGGTACAGCTGTGCTCATGCATTTATCAACTGAAACACTTTTAAAAAATATATAATTTACTTCATTTTTCCTTTATATTACTGTTAGGGCGTTATATTGATTTTTAAATTAGCATTAAAACCTAAAAACCTGTTGCCTCGAGTTGATTCCGACTCACAGTGTTTTATTCTCAGAGTACTCTCCTATACAGCAGTCCTGTAAAGTAAGCAGGTCCAGCAGGTTTCCTTATTCCCATTTGGCAGATGAAGACACTGAGGCTCAGATAAGATTAATTCTGTGACCGAATCTGCCACTACAACACAAGCATGAAACTCTTCACATTCTTGATTTCACTTCCCAGGGTGTTCCACTAGTAGTGGCAGTACCTTTCCACAAGGGGGCACACATCATGTCATGGGGTGCATATCTGCAGCTGTTGGGCGACTAAACTAATCTTCTTTCCAAAAAAGCAATCTAAGTAAAAATAGTGTGTTTGCCATATGACTATAACTTTAAAACATCTTCCTTAGCCCTCTCCCCTTACATGTCCAAAGCCTCTCCTACGTAGAAATTCTGTAATCAACACTGTGTTTTGAGAATACGAGCAAGGAGGTGCGTGACTTTCAAAAGCCCTTCAGGTGGTTCTGATAAGTCCCTCCAGCTGAGAACCCCTGCACTAGGCCAAGCGACAAAAGAGAGGATGTGTGACACGTGACTTGATGGTATATGCTCTCTCTTGCAGCACTTAACTCAGAATACGGGACACTGTTTTGAGCAAGGCCTCCACTTGCTTCTCTTGATAGCGGTTGATTTCTGAAAACTAGGGCTGTGGAGCAGCTACCACACTGAGCCAAGATGGTTCACGTCTAGGAGGCTCATAGGTCTTCCCGGAGAGGCCCTGCCTGCAACACAAGTTCTAAGAATATCCTGTTAGAGGTTTTCACAAAACTCACTTTTCAGTGGCTGATTCAAAGAAAGTCACATAACTGTTGTTGTTTTTCCCCCTTGCCTACGTTTTCCAAATGCAGAGAGTGACCTTTTCTTCCGCTTTTGGGGGGTGAGATTTTTTTTTATCTCTCCGCTAAGTCATTATTCATTAAACTGAGAGCGAGGAGAGGAAAAAAAGAAGGGACTTAACAGAGGACAGTGACTGAAATAAAAATGACCTGCCTTTTGTCCCCCCCGATACTTTATAGTAAGTACCGCAAGCTGAGCAGGTGCCCAGGAGTTTATAGTTCAAGCTACACTTGCCCCACATCCCACCTGCCCCTTGCCACACAAACCAACACATACTTGAGCCCAGAAAACCTTTTCTCTGCTTACTTATGTTAATCATCAAGCCAAAGCAAATAGCCTTCCACTTTCTGGATCCAGGGTGGCAATTAAATATGAAGACAACACAAATCCTCTAGACAAAAGAAGAAAACAAAACAAATAAGCAAACAAAAAAGCTCTGTATTCTAGGCCAGGAGGTGGGCCACCATGTACCAGGGAGTTGCATCAGCTGTCACTCGCACATAGCAAATTTGGTTTCCCAACTTTGAACTTTCTCGGTTTCACACACCAGCACTGCCACTAGGTGAGCAGGAAATTGATTTATGTCGTTGGTTTAGGACTTCAATCAACCCCCAGTTTTCAAAGTCTCCGCGGAAACATTCTGTTTCAGCGGCTAGGGATTCATTTATTCATTCACTCACTCAGCATGCATGCCAATAAGCACGTAGGCTCAAGAGAGATTCACAACAGATAAAAGACCTCAGAGAACACAATCTCAAATTAGGGGGAAGCTGCCTAAGTAGATAAAATAATACAAGATTAGTGCTGACAGAGGTATGTACAAAGTGCTGAGGAGCAGAGAGACAGATTCCAAGTGAGCAATGTATCTGCAATGGCAAGGAGAATGAATTATGGGTTTACTACCCTATTGCCCTTCTCTCCCACATATCCACAAACATGAAAAGGTTCTTCCTATTCTATTCATATTCAATCATTAGGGGATTGGGAGCCTCTGATCTCAAGAGAGACATTTCTAAGGCGCCTCACAAGCAGGAGAAACTATTTAGAAATGCAAAGTTGTTTCTGCACCACTCCAAAACAAGCCCAGGAGAAAGGCAGAGAAAAAAAAAAAAACTTCTCCAGCCAGAGCAACCTGGAATCCAGACTGACCGGCCAGGCACCTGGCAGGACAAGTGAACTGGTGCATAAAACTGCACCATACTCCTAGCCCTTGGCACAACTCCCTAGGCATAATCCCAGTGTCCAATTTGCAGGAAAGACGTGAAGAAAGAAGGGTGATCAGAATTTTAGCATTCTAACGTTGCCACCTCTCTCTGACCTCTTTATGATTCAACCTTTTTCGGCTGGGTCACCCAGGCTTCTGAGGGGGAAATTTTTGTCAAAGCGGAAAAGTTGGGCCCGCTTCGCTACGTGGATGGGTGAATATGTCTGAGTCTACCCTTCACTTCCCGTTCCAGTTCCCAGCCCCTACACTACACTCGGATTATCCGCAGGTAAAATGAGACAACATTCACTAAGGACCCAGCCCGTGAGTGGCATGTGGTCGAAGCGCAGTAAACCGTGCTAACCTTGCCTTTTCACACACACCTCCTGGGTCAAAGCCTGTCACCACTCTAGGCGCTGGAGAAGTTGCCCCCAGGTGGGTAAAAGTTGTGGAAACTCCCGGCAACCACTCGTCCCCGTGCTCCCAGGGTGTGAGGGGCACGTGGGTGGCGTGAGTGTGAGGGTGGGTGTGTGAGCGCCCGGCGCGTCCCACGCCGTGTTAACTCCTTACCTTCCAGCAACACCTCCTTGCCCGCGCGCTTCAGCGCCTGCACCGCCTCGTCGTGGGTGGCGTCCCGAAGGTCAGCTCCGTTCACGGACAGGATGGCGTCGCCCACGTACAGAGCTTGGGTCTGGTCCGCCGCCAGCCCCTTGAAGATTTTGCTGATGAGGATGGGCATCTTGTTCTCCTTGCCCCCCTTGATGCTGATGCCCAGCCCGCCCAACTCCTGCTTCAGCACCTTCACGTCGCGCTTCTGGTTCGAGATAGCCTCGGGCACCTGCTCCGGCAGGTCGGTGAAGGCGGTGCGGACCCCTGCGGGCGAGTCCGGGGGTTGCGCGCCGCCTGCGCCCGGGGTCCCGGCGCCCCTGCAGAACGAGCCATTGGTGGCAGTCCCAGGGCCGTTGTATGCCGCCGCGCTCTCCTCGCAGCTCAGAACCAGAGCGTCCTCGCTCAAGTTCACCAGAACTTTGTGCCAGCGATCCCGCACCAAAACTTCCAGCAG